TTGTGGACGCATACTTTGTAGATGCATTACTAAATTGGGAAAGGTCACTTCTTTCTCAACTTGTCCATATTTTCCAGAAGAATTTAATACTATATTTTCAAGAATGCTAAGCGAAGCTTCAATAATACTGGTATCTTGGGTAACAGCCTGATTATTTACATAGCTTGCTACTTTGTTGATAAAAGGTGTTTCTAATATATCCCATGAAACAATTCCATGATCCATAAGTTCTACAAATGATTGAAGCGAATATGCAAGCGCATTACCTTTATACTTCTCACCTTCAACCTATAAAAAAATGTATTCAATGAATTAAAATACATGAATGATATGAAAATGATCAATTATTAGGATTCATTTTTATTACCTGTGATATAATTAAAGCTAATCCTTGCTTATTAATAAATTCTAATGCAAATGTCATATCTGTACTGAGAGTACTCAATTTTTGCAAGGCTGCAGTTTTTTCTTCCATAGTTCCATTGTTAAGTTTTGTTAAAATATCACAAGCTGTTTTAGAAGGTGAAAACTCCAATCTTAAAATACTACCATTCTTTACTTCATTGCGATTTTTTTCTGTGATATAATTTTGGTTATTACTTTCAGAAAATTGTAATGAATAAGATTCAGGGTCAGAGAGACCCCACCCATTGCACAGTTCCTAATAAAAATTAAAATTATTCTTATTTAAATATATCTTCACAATTTTAGTTCTAAACAGTTCATCTTAAAAAATCTAAACAGGAAGATAATACAATTATAGTAATGTAGTGGACTTATATTTTATTCAATATACCTGAATAATCCCAGTAAGTGGATGCTTTTGATTAAATTCAATAAGTTGTGGCACTTGATCCGTCATCTGAACAGCGATTTTCACAATATTTGAATCCTTTTGGACCGGCATTTTTATTGTTTGCGTGTACATCAAGGTACCAGGAACAATTTGTAATTATTAAAACCAATTCCAGAGATACGATAATCGCCGGCCCAAGCTATTATGAGAAATATTACAAATTTGACGTATCTCTTGTCATAACAACGTGACGGCCATCATGCTGGTGTGTCGGACGTGGTCGGACGATCTCGCCCCTCCATGAACCATTGATGGACAATAACCCATCCAGATATACATATACCGCAGTTCACCAGAGTCCATAACTGCGACGCGCAGGTTGGAAGATGGTGGGGGAACGCAGCGAGCTCTCTGCTAACCGCTTTCCACTTCGTTTGGGAGTCTCGCCAATCAGGGCGAAGATGCGCACTGGAGATGCGCGAAGAACGAAAACTGGTCTTTTCGCAGTTATGGACTCTGGTGAACTGCGGTATATGTATAAGATAAATTAATCACCTTGTGGGAGTTCGTGTCTCACAATTTAAAATATGTACCGACGTCGCTTTAAACCTTATTTTTATCGGCCGGTTTACTACGCATTCAACGATTCATTGTCAGTGGGGGTCAAGAAATTTCAACTTCAATTTAGAAAATAGTTTGATTCTTTCATTTATTTGTATGCAATGTATTTATTGCTTAACTACATGATTGTACAAAATATTTCTTCTTTTCTCAACTATACAATGTACATACTAAGATTAGTTACAGAAAAACAATTGCAATTAATATGCAAATATATTTTACAGAGTATTATAAATCATTCTTTGTTATTAATTGTACTGCCAAAGCAATAGTAAAAGGATTTATACCTTTACTAAGTTATTCTTTTATCTTAAGCATATGTAAAGTTTTCATAAAAATATCTACCATTTCTGTATCATATGTTCTGTACATTATTAATTGATTACAATTTATAAAATTTTTGGAAATAGTTCTGTTAATCGACATAATGATACAAAATATCAACAAATTAATGTTGGTATTAATTACTATTTTACATTGAAACCTAAAGTTTCCAATCCCATGGTATACATAAAACGCCATCACTCATAACAGAATAATAATGTGTCACCCAAAGCATGACACCTTCCAACAATGGAGCTAAAACGTTTTTGTGCAATAATAAACGTTCGCAACATTGTATCATTAAATCTGGAGTGATACTATCATCTTTGTTCAGAACAATTAAACCCAGTTCTTTAACAGCCTTATCATGAAGCTCACGTTCAACATGTTTGATGCTGCAATAAAATAAGATACAAAATAAAATAGAAACTTTTCCAAGATATTTATAAGATAGTCTTACTTGTTATAATGATGTAATCTTTTCGAGGCTTCTTCTAAGTTTTCAGTAATGAAATTTACTAAAAGAAAACTTGGACACGAAGATGGAACTATAAACTGTCCAGTAGGAGAGAGCATTAAAGGTCCTGCTTCACTGAAAGTAAACCTCATCTTAGTATATACATTTCACTTCGATATTATATTGCATTATACTTACAAAGATGTTAAATTAACCATGTTTATCAAATACTTACAAATTAACTGAAAGTAAACATACAAGAAACTTTAAGTACTATACATAATACTAACGCTTCAATCACAATCTCATAAGCAGATAATTTCTCGGGCCAGACTTTTGGATAATTTCGACGTCCTCGGTAATCCGAGAGGGTTGTAGTAAGTTGTCGAAGTTGCCGTTCATACTGACTAACCATTACTTTTGGCATGAATTTCCTGCACATATAGAGTACCCTGAGCCTTACCGTCATTCAATTAATGTGTTGTATTACGCACCGTCGACCAACTTTAATGTCGAGAAGTACTTGTGAAACTGCCTTCTCAAAAGCTGGTAATCTAAACAGTACGACATCATACTTCCGGATATTTTTAATTAGCTGTAAAACAAAAATAACATACCAGTTGTTAAATATGATAACATTTGTTTGATTAAATCTATTTAATAAAATAAAAACTAATAAATAGGATACAAGTTTTATAATTCATTCTTACATCAAGCCAATTGTGTCTGACTTCACCTGAATTCAACATAACATTTCCCTCTAGACTAATGCCTGTATCATTGGCAAAAACAAGTGTTCTGTTTTTGAGTACTTGCATTGGTTCAGGATGATGTTCGGCTAATGCCTTGAAAGCTAATAAACATCCTCTATAGTGAGCTATGTTCCATCCACAATCCCATACAATACTGTTTATACCTAATTCAGAGCATAATATTTTTTCTAACTTTTGTACTTCTTCGCGTATAGGTCTACATGCTTCCAACTTCACATGTACTACATTAATATGTTTGTTCAAGTATGCCCTAATCAACAATCATCAACTATGTAATTAAACATGTTTAATAGAATATTAATTATTTACATAAAAACACAGATAATCTTACTTAAGAGTATCTGGTTCTAAATTAATTTTTCTTCTCATTATAATAGATGCATAAATGGGATCATCTTCTAATTCTGAAAAATCTATGTTTTCTCCAGAATATCCTTTTCTTTGCCAAAATCTTGATTTATATTTTCCATTTTCTGATGGTTTTTGTTCTTCAATTTGATCCACAAATGTGGTTGGCAAATCGCATGTCTTTAGAATAGAAAGTATAGTTCTTCTTAAGTCCTTATCCTTTAACTGTATTTGTACTAAAGTGAATTTACCAGCTTTGACTTCTTTCTCATCTTTTGATCTTAAATAAAATGGTAAAGTAATAGGTCTTATAGGTCTTTGCTGTTGTAAATTCTCAATGACAGAACTTAATTGTTTTAGAGAATTTTCATTTACTGTCTGAAACAATCAAGATTTTAAACAAATTAAAATCATATTTAACATACATTTGATATATTCTTTATTTAATCAGCAAATGAATATGAATCTTATCTTGTATTCAGTTTATTTATACCTGAATTTTATGTGCATATACCTACATATAAATACATAGCAATTATTGCACTTCCTTTGTTCTATAAATAATTCTTAACATAATAAGACAATAAACTGCGTTGCTGAGGCTTAATCAATTTAAATCGCCTTCACTTTACAGACTTGCTTTTTATAAGTTACCTAAAATCATTATAATTAACTGAACTTACTCTTTGTGTAGGATATTGCCCAAAAAGATCAGGGTGAACTGTAAAGTAAAAAGGTCGAAGTGCGGTAGATACCTCACCCGTACTCAAAGCTCTTACCGCATCTCTCCTGCAAAAACTATTTAAAAAACTGTTATCAAGCCACTACTTGAATCTATTTGTACCATACAAACTTAATTAAATATAGCTATTTACCATCTTCCTAATGCACAATACATTTTTCTAGTTCACCGTAATGTCATCACACGTCCATATCACGCAAAAGTTTACGAGTTGAAATGCGATATTTATCGCATTTGCCACTCATCAAACTTACTAAATGTACTACATTAGTATTCAAATAACAATTCTCTATCTTGTTAGCCGTAGAATATATTCTTTGAGATATATAATCTGCATAAAGTCTAAATATATGGTGTATTTCTTAGAAAATAACTCTCCTCGCAATGCGACAATATGCAAACTCGTATAACATTGGACTTGAACCTCTTCTTTTTGTCTAATCAATGGTGAGATCTGTATACGTATAGCGTGTATAGATACATTATATGTGTTAGTTGGTATATGTTTCGATAATCATAAATAGAGCATTACATACTGTTACATACGATCAGTCGAATAATCATTCTATCCTAACTAAAGCTGAATGTTCCTGAATAAACATTGAAATTTTAAATATTTTCTTTTGTTCCTATCACAAATTTATGATGCATCGAATTCTTTTAAGAATACGTCATTACCAATTGGCGGGCTGTACTTGGTTTGTGTACTACACCAGCTGTTTTTGCATTTATGATGTAAACGAGTAGTAAAGAAAGAAGTTACAGTAGGATTATTATAAGGCTAATGCTACGGTATTTACTTTTTGTATCTGTGCTTAGTCACAGGTGGCCAAGGAAATGTATTATATATGGCATTGAGTCTTTTAAGACTCTGGCACAGTAATATGTTAGAGGCATTGCCATTTGCTTCCCAGATGTGGATTGCTAAACATAAATTTTACTAAAGTTTCAAAATGTGCTAAACGTGAGAGAGTTTAAACAAAGTGACATTGGTACTTATTTGCAACCATGTAAATGGTTATTATACCCTAATTACATGTAAATTACCAAGTGGCATTTAGATAATTTTCTATGTAACCTTGTGAGTAGAAAGAGAAAGTTGTTGAACATTTTTATCTATTGTATTATATGTAATACATATGTAACTTGTATAAATTTTAATTAATATTTTGATTTTTTAATTTTCAGTTTAACCATGTATCCAATAAATAAAAGACCTTTGTTAGGAGGCTCAGACAGCGAATTTGAGGATGATTTAGAAACTGAAGTCGATGATCCAAGTATTTCTGTGCCGGATGAAAAGCCATTTTTAAAACAATATGAACCTAGCGACAGGTAATTTTCAGTTAGAATAATTCAATTGTTTACTATATAATATGCTTTATGTATTTCTTTAATGTTTAGGTATAATATTGCATATATTGTTTTTTATTTACTTGGAATGAATATATTAATTCCTTGGAGTTTTTTTATTACTGCTGAAGATGTAAGTAACTGATATATCTTACTATTTAGCATCATTGATAGTATATGATTGAGTTTGTCTAATTTGTTTTATAGTATTGGATGTATAAGTTTAGAGAAATACAAGAAAATTCTACGCATATTAACTATACTCATGTAGAAAATTTAGAAAAGAAAACTGACCTTCAAGCTAGTTTTACATCATATCTAAGTGTAGCAAGTGCATTACCAAATACATTGTTTCTAATCATAAATGCATTTATCAGTAAAAAGTAAGTAAATTATATACTTTCAACTACACAATACTAGTAATAGAACGACTATATCAACTTTACAATTTATAAAATAATAGAATTCCCCTAAGGACAAGAATGGTGGGCTCACAGTGTATAATACTGTTACTTTTCATTGTAACAACAGTATTTGTTAAAATAAATACAGACAAATGTAAGTTACAAAAATAAAAATGCTAAATATTACTGTGTATTGAACTTTTAAAGTAAAATTCCAATTTCATTTCTAGGGCAAGGCACATTTTTAATTATTACTTTGACCACAGTAGCATGCGTAAATTGTAAGTACATACACGATATTTGAAACACCAATAAATATTTCAACATGTAAATTAGAGAACAATATCGATATTTTTTTATAGCTGCAAGTGCAATTTTTGGAGGAAGTTTAATGGGTGTTGTTGGTCGTTTTTCTCCCAAATATATAACTGCTATGTCAAGTGGTCAAGCTCTTGGAGGAATTTTTACTGCTATAACAGAAATATGTTCTCTTTGGATTGGTGCTAGTCCTATGCTTTCAGGGCTAGTATATTTTATTATTGGAGATGTTATCTTGTTTTTATCTCTGATTGCATATGTAATGTTGGAAAAAGCAGTAAGTAATTCTACATTTTAATGAACATAGAATAATGATATTTATCATACAAGTGTTTTTAATATATAAGTAGCTTATGGTAATAACACAGACATGTATTGATAATCTGCTTTGAACATTGAATAGAAGAATTAAACTGTGTCATATAAATCGTATCTATACTTTCTGCTTAGGCATTTTTTAAACATCATATGGTGGAGAGATTTCCTAACAGTGTAGAAACAGATTATTCAGTAACTGGAGAAGTAACTTTTCCACAAGGCACAACAGTATCTTATACTCGTATTGTTAAAAGAATTTGGCACTATGGTATTAGTGTATTCTTAGTATTTTTTGTATCACTGTCTGTATGTCCAGCAGTTACTGTATTGGTAGAAAGTCAAGATAAAGGCAAGGGTTATGCATGGAATGGTAAGTTTCAGTATTAAATCTTATATGCACAGTTTTTAAATTATTAACAGTTATATATATATTTTGCAGATATCTATTTTGTACCTGTGGTGACATACCTCATTTTTAGTTCTGGTGATTATGCTGGAAGAATATTATCTGGCATATTCCAATGGGTATGTACAAAAAATATTCTTTGTTCAAAAATATATTTAAAAGTAATATTTAATGAGTTATATATTTTTTTAGCCAAAAAATAAACCCTGGCAGGTGATATTTTTAAGTCTGATAAGGGTAATCTTTATACCTGCTCTTATGTTTTGCAATGCACAACCTAGATATAATCTTCCTGTTTACATTCATAATGACTTTTATTATATTTTAATAACTATTGCATTTGCCATTAGCAACGGTTATCTGTGTAATTTGACATTTATTTTAATTCCTACGTAAGTATTATAGTATATATTAATAAATTAAAATTTGATACATTTTGTAATGAAACTTTTGAAATAGAGTTGTAGATTCTCAAGAAAAGGAAATTGCCTCTGCTATGATGGGAGCTTTCCTTGGAATGGGATTGGCATCAGGTGCTGCACTTAGTTTGTTTATGGTTAAAGCGCTTTAACCATTATGATCAAAAAAGGCAAATATGAAAAAATGCAGGCGTTCATCTCACTGCCTATTGCATACTTAAAATAAACTAGGACCACAGGACACAAAGTCCAATCACATTTAAATAATACAGTTATTTGATATTTTATAATAAATTGATAACTGCAATGTTTGACACATTACAGTAAATTATTTTTTACGCATTTCTTTAAGGAGTTAAACTTGACCATTCCATGAATACTTAAATTATGTTACGTATAGAATGGAAATAATTGCATGTCAAATTACATGTAATACATCTGATACATATAACATAGAGAATGAATTAATTATATAAAAAAATGTAATTCTAGTCATCATACATTTCCGTAATGTATTTATTTTTAAGCATTCAGAGTACAATAAATTATGACAAGTAACTCATACTATATACAGAATAAATTAAAGACAGTATAAAAATACATAAGAGTAGTTTGTACTTTATTACATACATTAATAATAAAAAGGATAGAAGTATATTCCTACCCTTATAACTTATTGCATTTCTGAATCGAAATATGTTTCACTAAATATAAATAAACGTTATATCGTTTTTTGAAGATTATAATTCAAAAATATCAAAAATGTACACTATTTCAAAAAGTTTTAAACTTATGATTGTATTACATATAATGATTGTAATCTAAAGCTTTCTTCAATTTTTAAAACGATCGACTGCAAATATACAGCTAAAGTTATGTGCTTTATTTAGTACTTTCTTTTACTCACATTTACAACAGAAAAACTGCTCACTTATTGGAGCAAGCATGAACCTCATGAAGGATATTGCTTGCTTTTACTTGTTAGCGGAACGAAAACAACGCTTGTAAGCGATTTTTTCATAATTTTTCCGTCCATTGTCTTATCAACTTGTACCAATGTTTGGTCTGAATTTTCTGGACCCATCGGTAATACTAAACGTCCTCCAGGAGCTAGTTGATCAATTAACTACATAAACAATGTCACAATTAATTTAATGAATACTATATTATTTGATAAAAACAAATTTTCCTTACAGCTTGTGGCATTTCTTTAGCTGCAGCTCCTACATGAATAGCATTATATGGTGCTTTCTCAGGATATCCTAATCTTCCATCTCCAACTAGATCAATAAATATTTTTTATATAAAACGATTCAATTGATTTACAAAATATTTAACTAGATACTTACCAACTAATTGAACTCTACCACTTTTAAGAAGCTCTGGATTATCCCTTTGAATGTTTTGGGTAGCAAATGATTTAAGTTCAGGAATATGTTCAATACCCACAGCCAAGCCATTTGGTCCTAACATCATTGACATACATGCTGTTAAATATCCAGAACCAGAACCAACATCTAATGCTCTTGCACCATCGCGTAATTTATCTTCAAGTATTTCTAAAGCATATGCATGCTGAAACATTTTGAACTTGTATATTCTTCCTGTATAAATTATATTATGAATAAATCAATTTATTTAAAAACATATATACCATATGAGGAGCACTTATAGTTGCACCATAACCAATTGATTGTGGAGAATCTATATATGCATAGCTAGGGTGAGTATAATTTGCTCTATCTACAGCAGACATTGCTTCATAAACTCGATCAGATTTAATTACTCTTGATCCTAAGATGAAAAAATGCATACTTTCAAATATATACATATTTACCTCTTAATGTATATATACATTTGGTTTTCTTTATTCAATAACATTTAAGACCAATAAAATCAATATAAAACTTATAATAATTGTGTTAATATCACTTACTCTTAAGACTTTGTATAAGATCATGGTTACTTTTTGCATGAAATCTTCCAGACCAAGCCATTTCATATGCAAATTCGGAAAATAATAAACTTAGTACTATAAAAATAAAAAACGTCAGATAATGGGACTGAATTTTGAGGCCGTATATCGCAACACGATGAAACACTCAACAATTTTTCATTATATGTACAACGACTTGTAACGTTTAATAAAAATGTCAATTTTAACAAATATTATACAGCTGTTTTCTTCAAAGAATGAAATAAATGTAATGTTATAGATGGTTATAAATATTTAAATAATTAACAAGTAAATTGAAGCCGGCCGTGATCAACGTCTGCTTTTCGTTAGAACAGATATCAATTGTCTTCTATATAAACACAAATACGGAATTTTATAAATACAGAATTTATCAATAGTTGCATACAATACATTAATTTGCAAACACAATAAGCAATCGTTGCGCTATTGCAAATCGCAGATCAAACAGAATAGCTTGTAATAGATGAATACGTCACTAACCAACTTAAATTTAGTAGCAAGCCAAGTGGGCTATTTACGTTCTTTTTGCCAAAGGTTACGCTGTTGCTATAATCAATTTCTATTTTATCGACGGTGATAGTTCGTTTACAGTATTTTATTTTATCGACTGTTAAATTTGTAATTCAGCTGCTGCTATCTAGTGGTAAAAATGTGTTTAAGCAGGGCGTACTCGCTTAATTGCGTCATAAGAGAAACTGATTTTCCTAGGTAGTCAGCCATATTGACTCGCGCGGAAGAACATTGAAAGCAGTCCCGTATCCACAGTGCTACAGTTTCATTTAAATGGTGCATTATCGTTACAAAGATTCTCCAATCGAGTTGGATATTCCATGAACCGTAATTAATAATCGAGTGAAGAATCTGATAACATTAAGGTAAGTAACCATTAATATTTGTATGCGAGAAGGGACTATTTGAAAATGGTGCGAGTATGGGCCGTGGCTGTATCTCCAGCGTCGCCCCGCGATTCGACGGACCTGTTCGTGTTCGTACCCGTCGGTGGAATTGGAACAAGAGTTGTTTATGTGCTTACGGTAGGAAGTATTCTGTTAGTTACTCGAGAAAAATACAATTAGTGCTTCAGCTTTGTACATTTTTTTCTTATTTACATTTTGATCCACGATTTTCTCATTGTGGTGTATTGTATATTTAAGAGAAGACCGCGTCTATATCCAGCAAGGTAAGTTTACTAGTTTTCTGATTTCACTTTATTACCTTCGTGACACAGTGTAACAAAATTTGATCGAACTTCATTAAAAACATTTTCTTAAGTATAAATTAGAAAGAGTTTTATACTTTTTATGTTTTTGATAGGTATCAGTATACATTTGTAAATATGACAGTTTAGCGTTATTCGAAGTATTTATATTATAAATTGATTGTTTGATTTCTGTTGTTTTCTCATATTTGTTCTCCATTTTTAGCATAAAATGTACTATCGTATAAAAAATTATGTATTGTTCACCTAACCTACAATGATTTTAAATAAAATTCAGAACAAAAAGTGTAACCGAGTTCTTTTACGATTGTACATATTAGCGAGAATATCTTCCACGATCGAACGTAGATGTATTGTATAGAATTTATACCTTTTAATCTATATTTTAATTAAAAAATACACGGAAACATTTCCTTGGTCCGGTTAACAAAAAATTTGTACATAAGGTATATGCAAAACATTTCTACAATTGCATGCGCGTGTGTATGTGTGTATACTCTATATTGTATAAATCTGATATGAAATTAAACAATTGAATCATCTGTTATTTGTTCGAAATTGTTGATAAATAAAATTACATCTGAAATCCAGACAAACATAGGATCAATACAATCAAGTGATCAAACTCGCAAGTGCATTCTTTGCGCACTCTGTATCATATTTCACCGGGGGAAAAAACTATCATCTATTCTCTCGTAATTAGTGGTATGGCGTGATGTATAGAACACGTTGAACATGATTGTCAACGATGTATCATCGTTGGGATAAAAACAATTGACAAATCTGAAATAACAACGCATCGGTTATAATTTCTTTCTGCTATCGTTTCATTTCTACTTTCATATGTGACCCTGAGAATAAAACTTCGCCGCACACATATTGTGCTATCACTTTACACAAAATGGAATTTATTTTTAAACTATCTACTAAATCTTATACACATCCGGTATAATTCGAAATGGTTACTTCCTATACATTTTTAATTGAAAAATAATTATACCGGTAATGGTACATTGAGTTCCACTTTTCAGATCATTTTACATTCCCGTTTCCGCAGAATCGAGATTTCGTCATTGTGTCTCATGGACGTTCATTACCAGCAATTAGGTCAATTATGTACTTTGTCGCGGAGACGCCAGCATTTCCGAAAGATCACATAGCTTGGTTGCGCTTCTGGTCACCGGTAATCGATGACGGCTTCCATCGTTCATTTCTTTACATTCTCTAGTACTTTTCCTGCATAATTATTAAGCGTTTTAATATTAATCACGCAGAAAAGAAAAACTGTTGAAAATTGAAAAAAAATTATCAGAGTAGTCGCTTCACGTAATATACCAACGCGGTGTTCGGTTACGCGCAGATCAATCATGTATAGATTCCAGGGTGTATTTAGGATTATTATTACAAACCGTGCACCGCGTTAACCAGGGCAAGGAAGTGTACTCACGGCCGATGCGTAGGGAGGTGTGGCGTTGATAGGAGGTGATGCACGACACGACCGAAGTTACAATGAACTTGGGGGAACCGAGCTTACCCGCCGGTGTAATACACCGTTTGTAACGCTCCTTTCTCCTACCGGGAACGTGCGTACTCGTGAACTATGACACGAGTACCGCTAGAATATTCTGTCCAGCAGCTTCGTTGATGCTGAAATCAGTACAAATGCGTTCTAATTGCGTGAGATTAATGCCGTCGAGATTAATCTGTTTAAAACCGACGAAAGCGTCGGATGCCCCTTACTATCTGCCCCTTGTAACCGATTACCAGAGGATATCGTACCTTTCACAAGGAACTGATTGTGATTTAAACACACCTTCGCTTTCATATTGGTATTCATGCGATACGAGTCTCTTTTTTTTCGATACCAAGTAAATGTGGCAGCTGGAAGTATAAAATACAGTGGTACCTCGGTATACGACCTTAATCCGTTCCTGATGTTTGGACGTATACCAAACCAACCTTTCCCATAAGAAGTAATGTAAAAATGATTAATCCGTTCTCATGTATAAAAAACCTCCTATATTATTATACCTACATTAATTTTTCCTCTTTTATTCAAGAGCATCCCTTTGGGGAAGTACTCACATGATATTGTAATAATTTAACAAATTTACTTATAGCCACTTCACGACAGATTGTAAATTAATACATTTAAAAAAAAAATTCCTCCGAGATAATTATTTAAAAATGACGCAAAATTTGTCACGACCAAACAGGACGTATTCCGAATTGAGCGTATTCCAAAGCAGGCGTGTACCAAGATACCACTGTAGTACGTACTCGTATTTACTTATATCGATTTATCCCTGCGGATGACGCACCACGTGTTTCAGGTAAAGAAACTGATATCATCAGTAAGTATTAAAAAAGTAACGGGAGAGATAAGATGGCGTAAAAACAGAATAATAGAAATAAATTACACAATAAACGGAGAAATAAATAAATCATAGGTGATTCTTTTAGATTGGACATTGAGTACCCCTCGTTCTATGCGGTAATCGTGTTTTTATTTTATTCGTAAACGTTATCAGTTTATCGTAGGCAATCAAGATAGTTTTATCAAGTATTATCCCAGTTAAATTATAGTACTACGCTTTTAATAGTAGCTCTGACTACGGTGGTGGTGGTAGTATTAATAGTAATCACGGAGATACGAGCACACCTGTCCACCGATAGTAAACGTGGTCTCGCGTGGCCGCTCGATTCACGTAAAATTTAATTGCTCAGCTAGCTAGTTACGCATACCTGTCTTCCGTAAAGCAATCACCGGAAGCATTGGCGATGCACGTTAACCACGCGATAGAAACTTGAAAGATAAACACGATCAAGGCGTGGCTAGGTTTGTCACGTGGTGTTACCGGGATCGCAGTTTACAGTGTAACCTGGATTTCGATCTACGATGATACCATTACCTTTTAAAACGTTTCTTCGTTAAATTCTTTCTACTCTCTAATTAGAAATTCTACAAGTTTCTAATAGTTGTCATTTTGCATAGTTACGCATTCCAGGAAATTAAGTTATCAAGCGTTTCTTCTAATCACGTTTCACCCAGAAATTGCACCACATACCAGGCATGATTAAATAACGTTTGTTACTTGTTTTATCACCTACTTATGTAGATTCGTTAACCGAAGCGTCGCGTATTTATGAATCGTCCTGTAGGGGAAGCAAGTTCGCGTGCGAGATTGTCCTGTGAATCGATGAAAATCTAACACGCTCTTCCCGAGATATAAGAGACCAGTACTTGCCCCCCTGGGGATGTTTGATCGATCGACGTTCCTACATCGCGGCCGGATACGTGCTAGCTGACAATTTTCCGGTCGACGAGTGGCAACAAACGAGGACTGAAATACGGTCGAGTTTCCTACGGTTCCGTGGTGCGATCGTATAAACAGCTTCCGTGAAGCGTGCCTTAATGCGTTCAAGATCTACGACGCTTTCTTAGGCTTTCCGTGCGCGATGCAAACGACGCACCTTATGCGTCATTTTTATGCTAAAAGGTACGAAATCTCCGGGGTATTAACACACCGACGCCGACGTCCAAATACGACGCGGAAAGAAAGCCAGTTGCCAGATCGCTTGCCTTTCCAGAAGGCTGCTAATTCGCGAATACGTCGTCGGTGCACTTTACTTATTACCTCGACCTAACTGCACCCGTCATTTGCCTCCGGTATTCATCGTCGTTCAGTAAGAGATTAGCGAACGAGACGCGAACGATAACCGTAAAATCTCACGTATAAAGGACCGTAGGAAGGGTAGAGGGAACAAAGAACGATGATACACGCTTTTAAGGGATGCGGTGATTTTCGTATGCACTCAGGCACCGAGATCCACTCCGGTTTCCTCGATTCCAGCACGTGCACAACATCGGGCGAGAGTATTTTATCGGTCGTCGTGTGCAGACGATAGAAAGGGGTGCTCTTTTTCCCCGTTATATTTTCTTTTTTTGCCGTTCAACCCTTTCTTTCATCGTGCTCGCGTACATTCATCGTAGGTCTTCGTCTGTCGCGAGTTTCAATGGTAGGAATCGGGTGGGGCGTTAGAGGCGGGAAGAACAGGGTTGAAAGAAGGAAGGAGACACGAAGGGTGACGTGTATCCTTTGATGCGTGAAATTAAACGGATAAAAGGTTTGAAAACGTCGTCGAAATTTCGGCGAACTGTGCAAGATCCATCGCTTCCTCCCTTAAGGGGAAACAACCTTAAAATCCCTTTTCTTTCTAAACTGCATACAAATAAATGAAGTTGGGAATGGTGTTCCTTAAACCAGTCGAGCGTGAACTCGACGCTGGAATTAACGAGAATTGCATTTCTGATCGAAGGTATAATATCCGGGCGGGATACCCCCCGTTTATTGAATCGAAAGTCACCGAGTGGTTCGTGCTTTAATTAAACGCCGCGTTACGACTCCCTCGCGTATTTTTACACGAGAACTCGTTCACGAGTGATCTTGCGGGCTGTTGCACGAGCGTAGAATTAAAACCTCGAGCGGTCGTCAACTACGTGAACACGTTTCGATCGTGTCGGGTACAACCCTATATAACTCGAGTACCCTTTTATAATTTATAACAATTTGGAGGGTGTGGTTTGGGCTTGAAATCTCTCATTTTCTTCGACATCCAGTAGGGAACATTAATTATAAAATTTCTATTGTAATAACTGTAGCGATAGAAAAGGAAGTAATAGGCAGTACTTTCACAGAAAACAATGGAATTTCCTCGTACGAGCATAAACTAGCAACAGGCAACATTCCTCTTTCCTTTCTTTACCCTTTTTCTCGCAACATGATTCCTGCGTAACAATGTCGACTTTTTACCATCGCTTTTCTTCCCGCGTGAACTACCATATAATTGCTTATGCCCTACCGCAACACCGCGACGTCGTTTCATCGCGAGCCCTTCAGTTATTACGCTTTTTTTCACAGTTGAATCGTTTTTCTTTTCAATTCGCATCTCTTCGAAAGACCTTATTCGCGTTTGTAAAGAAACTCCTTTGATTTCCCACTGGAAAGGAAAGTGTCCAACAGCTGGGAAAATGCGAATCACGTTCCCGAGGAAGGAGGGCAAAAAATAAACGCGAAGGAACATTTCGATGTACACGCGGAGGAGAAAATGCGCTCGTTGGTCGTCGATTAGATGCGCCAAGCGGCCATGACGAGAATAGAAAAAGCAAGGAAGAAAAAATAGAAATCACGCTTCTCGTCGATTACACGCGTCATTTAATCAAGCACGAGCGTTTCACGCGTTCCGTGATCTGTGAACATGGTAAAAGTCGTAACGTAGAAAGGGTTGTGTAAAACCTTGGAAAATCGATGCTCTGTAGAGATACTTGTACATGAATCACCCTGTACTCCGGCACGAGGGATTTAAATGCCGCGAACCGAAACGATCGCGTCCGCTTCTGGTTGGGTACAGCGTGTATTCATTCACGTAGCTCGATTGCCAGCCACCACTGGGTTAATAAACTGCATCGTGTATACGTGTGGAGAGCCGGCCTGGCTCGTTTTCCGACATCCTCCACGTTCGTGCTCTTCTGCAAGCACCACTCGTACGATAAGAATTTCGTCGATCCGTTAATCGGGTCTGCACGTTCGATGTCGTCGATACTCCAGATTCAGATACCGCGGTTCCGTTAACCGGAAAACGCGACTCCGTATCGTCAACTCCCTTGAAGCTTTGTTCTGTGAAAAAAAAAAAATAACGTCTCGAGAGCAGGAACGAAACCGGAGATAAATTTGCAATTTAAAATCCTTATTATCCACTGCGTTGGTCGTTGATTCTTTTATTTCTGGCTCTCGAGATTTGCATTTTTGCAATTATCACGTCGAGCGCTGTTCTTTCTATTTTTATTCGACGTTTGACGTCTCGAAGGATACGTCGTATCTCGTGATGTTACGAATTCATTCATTAAAGACGATGGCTGTTTAATGCGTACGGAGGACGAGAAGATGTACGAGCCACGGAGCCGTGTGCACACACGATCGCGTGGGCGTGTGCCAGAGATCACGCGACCCTCGTTTACAATAAGCCCTTTGACACACGACCAAACGAAGCCCACGCGTCTTTGAAAGGATCTCGGCTAACGTCGGGAAAAAAGCAGATTCTTTCAGACCTTTCAGGCTCGCTCCATTCAACCGGGCCTTTAAACTTTAAGGCGACCCGTTAGCAAAACGAGACGGATCGACCGGTTTCCTCGGTGTCTACATCTTGGATCCGAGACTCTCCTTTTAACTTTCCAATTCTTCGCGACTGTCCATCACGTTCCTCCGCGGTGTCTATGATATTCTAAAATATTGAAGTTTCGTCCGTTTGTTGAAGAAAGGCAGTGACTCAGTGCACTGAATTCATGGTTTAGAATTTCCTCTTTGTTCCGATTATTCGACTAAATTAAGCGATTTCGTATCGCTGGTCACTGATAACCCCTCCCATGGACAGTCAACTGTAAATCATCGAGAACCGTTGTTTCCTTTCCCTGGAAAGAAGCTGCAATGACGATTGTGAAGCGTTTAGAATACCCTCGGTGTTCAGCGCCGAACGGGTTAAAGTAGAGAAAGGCATACGATCCAAGAAATAGATGTATCATAATCGACGATAATCTCGCTCGTAGGTGAAAGAAATTCCTCCCACATAGCACGAAGAAAACGATTGTTGGAGCATTTTGAACAGTCAATGCAACATTGGTCACCGCGTCATCGTGCTGCTAATCGGTGCATTACTTCATCAGCCTAGTAAAGAGCACGGTAAAGGACGTCTGCTTTCAGCGATGACGACATTCAGGCTTGTCGAACTTACACACAGCCACGAAAACAGCCATTCTACGAATTCCATCGTGATTACTGCATAATAATAAAAAAAAAAAAATTGAATCAAATTTTACTTTTACCATTTAGGATTATCGAAGGAATCGTCAATGCAATAGATCGTCGCATTGTATTCCTGTTTCATCTAGGAAGTTACAAAAGGTGTCCTTTTTTTCATTTCAGTCGCGACATTATACAACTCGTAGCAAGGCACGGATTTATGTAATTACTCTTTTGTCGAGTTAGGTCGTTGCGTAGCCTCGTAACGAGATATTCGTTGGGAATTGAACGTTAAACCGTGATTTCCGTTTTAATGATGCACAGACCGGTCCCACCCTTTTTCTGGACGCGTCTGTCTGTCGCTGTACATGAATCACGTTTCATGCACAGCATCTGAAATGATAGGAAAAACCACGGTATCGTTGGTGGAGACATTTTTCCAGCTCGTTCCCGTCGAAGCACTAATGGTATTTGTAACGACAAACGGCATATCCCGGTATGGTTCTGATTCCATGCAATTGAGGTTGAATTACTGTTTGCAACGCTACCATTGCATAAGGGACCGTGTATCCGAGCTACTTCGCACAGTCGATTCGAATGATGGAAACTCGACAAAGCGTGTCGGTCAGGGTCGCGCACGTTATTTCGTGACTACTTTTAATTCCTAGAAACGAATATAAATTTCAGAGAACCCACTGTTAATTACAGTAGAATTCCATTTCTTGGAGTTCCATTTCCTAGCGTCTCAAATACAATTTTACCAGTAGGGATATAGATTATGAAAGATAGATTATCGAGGTGTTAATTAATGTAATATTGGAGCACTTAGACCATCTAAATGAACATGTTTCGTTGAGTCATTTTCCATTCAAAGGATTGATCGATAAAGTATCTGATAATTTTTTATAACAATCTTATCGTCCAATAATATCCGACACGAGATATTTTAATCTAAGAGCTATTATAAATATCAACAGTTTATTGGCTTTGTATCGAGACATTGCTCTCAATCTATATATAAGAATCGTGTACCCACACACGTTCATTCTTTGCTGCTCCAAGAAGGGCCAACGACCTGTAGTAAATGTACACACATGTGCCTCTATCGTACGTAACTACTACAACCTGTCTTCTCAAAGTCTTACGAAATCGCTCGTACTATTTTCTCTGTCGTTTTCTACACGCTGATTTCAGACACCGCATAGACAACGGAGATTCTGCTTACCCGACGTATGATTACGCACCAACGGTACCAGCACATAAGAGTACCATATTTTTCTTCTTTTTGTCGTTGACCATAAATCTTGGAAAGAGTCGCATCTGGTGCACACCAGATGATAATGCGCGAACATTAAATCACCGTTGCGAAAAAAGAGTCGAGCAGTCGTTGGGAGAGGCGAGGTATCATTACTGATGGGGGACCAGTGCTTTAGGAATAAATATATTTCAAACTCACAGCAGCGCTGAACCTGGCCCTGACTTCCCACAATTATTATCAGAGATGGAAATGATACGAATAGCTCAATTATTCGAAGTTTTACAACTCCATATAATTCGAAGCAGTTGGAAATTATATTCTCGTTTTCCTTCCGTGTTTTCCTTCGTTAATGAGATAGAAACCACGGTGCTTTATGGAGGGTACGTGTAACTCCAAGAGCCCCGGCAAATATTGATTATTTCTCTACATGGCACCCTCTAGTCTAGACAGGATCTATACTCGAACACCGTTGAACCGGCACACGCGATCTTTTCTCGGTGGAAAATGAATTTATCGTCGAGTTCTTTTATATATGGCACTTTCATTTCCAGCACAGGGCTGAAATATGCCGGAGGAACAGAAGTCAGCTGGTGGGCCACCAGAGGTAACGGCAGAAAATGGTACCGGAACGAATTCACCGACCAAAAGCCCGGTTAGCAAAGGAAAACTGGCACTTGCAAGAATCACCCTGCTTGATGGGACCGTAAAAGATTTTCACATAGATGTAAGCTACTTAGTTCTTGCTTTATTCTTCAATTGACCTACCGCTTGTATGCGAGCGGAGGCTAATAACAAAATCAATTTTTTTTTTATTGCAGAGGAAAGCAAAAGGTCAAGATTTACTCGACATGATATGCCAGAGTATGAATTTACTGGAGAAAGATTACTTTGGTCTCATTTATGAGGATCGACACGATTCGCGAAACTGGCTAGACCTTGATAAAAGGATTGCAAAATTTGTAAAAAGTATAGCGTTATTCTTGACACTTGGCCTACTGGTATTTGCGTGATTGCTAATGCATTTTCCTTTGATGTTGCCAGATGAACCGTGGAAATTTAATTTCGAGGTGAAATTTTATCCACCGGATCCAGCTCAATTGCAGGAGGACATAACTCGTTACCAGCTATGCCTTCAAATTAGAAACGACATCATCACAGGACGATTACCGTGTTCTTTTGTGACTCATGCACTTTTAGGCTCTTATTTGGTTCAATCAGAGGTTGGAGATTACGATCCAGAGGAGCATGGGCGTACCTATTTGAAGGATTTCAAGTTTGCCCCTAATCAAACACCAGAATTGGTAGAAAAAGTAATGGACCTGCATAAAACACATAAGTTAGTCTCGTCCATATTAATCAGTGAATTATCAATTATAATTCCCAAGATGATTTGTTAAGGAAGAATGATAAAAGAACGTTTGCGAATTTTTAGAGGTCAAACACCTGCAGAAGCAGAACTTCACTACCTTGAGAACGCAAAGAAATTAGCGATGTATGGAGTTGATCTCCATCCTGCTAAAGACTCTGAAGGAGTTGATATAATGTTGGGTGTATGTTCGTCGGGCCTTCTCGTCTACAGGGATCGATTGAGGATCAATAGGTTTGCTTGGCCAAAGATATTAAAGATATCTTACAAGAGGCATAACTTTTATATAAAAATCAGACCCGGTGAATTTGAACAGTTTGAATCGACGATAGGTTTCAAACTGGCAAATCACAGGGCGGCGAAAAAGTTATGGAAAGTGTGCGTTGAGCACCATACCTTCTTCAGGTAATAATGATCTAAGAGTAATTTAAATTATAAAGATAGAATACGGTGAAATACATAAAGGGTTTTAATCGTATTTCTTTTAGGCTCATGAGTCCTGAGCCTGTAAAGAAAGTAGGTCTGATACCACATTTGGGTTCTCGTTTCCGATACTCGGGCAGAACTCATTACGAAACGAAAAAGACTCCTATTGATAGACAACCTCCACAATTTGAACGATCTTTGAGTGGTCGACGCCCTACGTCTCGCAGCATGGATGGTAAAAAAACATCTTATTTTATTATTTGTAAAATTGTCAAGATTTTATTAGATGTATAATGTTTCATGCAGCATTAGGTGGACCAAAACAAGTCGAAACTTACGGATCAGAACCAAGTAAGAGACATACAATGAGCTATGAACCAGAAATGATTCCTGACATGGAGCATATAGATCAACGGCCTAGTCCAATTAAAAAACAAAAGGAAAAGGTAAAAAAGAAGATATTTATATTACACACCTACATTATTAAATATAGTAATAGTTTGTAGAAGTTGCATGAATTCGTCATGCAAATTAAAAATTATTTCATGAATTTTAAGGATAACATTTTTGCGGTCTACGCTTTCAAACATCGTTTATATTTGAGCACATTGACGATATTAAAATTTTAACTAATTATCTAACTTCATATAACAACAGTTTTTGATATAATATATTATTGAAATAACAGTTACATTATGAAACCGAGAAATTGTAGAACACCAATTGGATCACTTGGAGAAAAAAGAAAAAAAAAGATAATAATACAATTTTATCATTATGCACTATTTTTTAAAATTAAACAAACAATATTAGTAGCCATGGCATGCTAATGATTAATTGTATGCCATGTATTAGACATGGTTGTATGCGTTAGATATTTTATTATATCTATTCTGAATTCATAAGAACATATAAAATAATTAAAATACAAGTTAATTAACACTGGTCATACATGAATAAATGGAAATTTGAAGGTGTGACAGAAAAATCAAAATATAATTGTGGGGGTATGCAACGAAGCATTTTAGTTAATTAACTTGTATAAGTTATACAAAGATTTGAAGTATGCAAAAAACCTAGGAATGTGTAGAGTTTACAAGACATTGTCTTATAATGATTATCAGACATCGAACACGTGGCATTTGTATGTGATAATTTAATTTTACAAACTTGAATTGAATCTTCACATCTTAGTGCTTCAATCGTAAAAAAAAAAAGCTAACTGACACCTAACTAACACCGGTAGCTCACACGCAAAACAAGTGCTGGAACAACATCAGCTAGCAGTACCAGTAGCCTGGAAGGAGAATACGATGCAGATCGTGGCAAAAAGGTATAGAATTTCACCTGGAACATACTCTATCATGCATTAACCAACAGTTTTCTATTTGTATTAATGTATGTGACCATTTGGTGTTTTCCTTTTTTTCAATGCATGCAGTTATATTCTGTTTATTATTTGCAAATATACGGCCATCGCCTCAAAGCTGAACTCCTGAAATTCTTTAACATTTTCATTTATTCTAACATCATCACATAAGCATGCGCAGATGCAAATATTTTCATAGGTTTTATAAACTGCGCTAATGCTTGTGTTAGCATGCTATTAACAATTATAATCACGTATAACATCGTGTAATGAGAAAGATATTACAGTATTACAAGCAATCCTTTCCAGGACAGTACAGTTAACAACTGATCAACAACTGATATTTTTTGAGAGCGCAGACCGTACTTAGTTGTCAAGCATGAAATATGTGCCAAGAGAATGTACAAAACATGTAGTAGTTCATAATAGCTTAACAGTAAAAGTTGATTCGTGCTTATTGCATGAAGCGATGTGTGACTATAAATTTACTTATAGAAACCGGTCGGAGGAATCGCGGTCCTACCGCCCGGTGGTCTATCTAAGAAGAAAAAGGATAAACAGAATGAAAATGAAAAGGAAAATCATAATGATCTCAACAATTCAGATTTGATTAATGAAAGTGCTCTTGAGAACAACGACATAAAGTCACCCAGTAAGAAAGGGTTGAAAAAGAAAGATAAGGAAACGCCAGAAAAAACAGATAAAGAAAAGAAAGAAAAAATAAAGGTAAGTAATATATTGTACCGCTACCGATGTGCTATAGCTTATTATAATATACTTAGTGAGAAAAAGTATAGTTAATTGTGTTCGTTCTTAGAATAAAATTATCATGCACAAAGACATGTAGATGTTCAATAGGTAGAGAGAAAAATATTCAGTCGATTAAATTGTTAAGACTAGGATTTACATCCTGACTTTTTGATCAACTCACTTTATTTGTTAAATTATCCAAATTATCGACGAATATTCTTTCTAAATTTCTTAAGCTCAAACGATTACCTTCTACGATTGAAAGAACGATCAAACTGCATAAATTAGATATGTTTTAGTACATTTTTGTAAAAGATACTAGCATTGTAAAATTTGTAGTCTTTATTGGCTTCGTTAGTTTTTTTAATGTGTAAAAAATATGTTTGTTATATGGCATGTTTTTGGCATTGCATGTTTTTGTTTATTGTAAAAGAGTCCTGTTGGCGGCTTCCTATTTGGCAAAAAGGAGAAGGATTCAAAGCAGAAGAAGCAGAAAAAGAATAAAGAGCTAGAGGAATCAATGGAAAAGAGCGACACGGAATCAAATCTTTCTGTATCGGAAAAGCAAATGAAATCTTTGACTGAAAAACCAAGTACTGAACAAACAAAGGCTAGTCCAGAACCACCGCAACTCCCCAGTTATACAAAACCTTATGATTACGAAGAAACAGAAGCTTCTCCAACGAAAAAACCTTTCACACCGTATGGATTTTCATACGAGGATAGACCGGCATCTCCTGAAATACAAAATCAGCAGTCACCAACTGCTGCGAGTCGAAAAGCTACGGGCTTAGCTTTTAATTATGCCCCAGGTGAGGAGAAAAAGGTAGCTGAATCAGCGGAAAAAAGGAAAACCAAAGAAGCTGAAACTAAACCACCGTCGGGATTAAAAACTCCTGGTCTGAATTATGTGGAATCTGCCGGTTTGAAAGAACAGCAAAAAACTGCATCCAGGCCGGATTTGGATAAGGATGCATCGACGATGCTTATCGCTGCTGAAAAAGATGCTGGATGTCAACCGAGTGTTGTTCAACCGATCCCTGCAGAATCGAAACCAGAGTACCATATTTTGCCACTTCCAGATGGTTCTAAAATTATAGGGGGTGTTATTTATACCAAAGACGGTAAATTATTAGATCAAAACAGTATCGGGCCGGAAAATTGCAAAGTATTGAACGGAAAAATTCATACAAAGGATGGTAATTTGGTTAAAAAATCCGAATTTGGTCCACATGGGATCTACATTAATAACGGTATAGTCACGACTAAAGATGGCAAACCGGTGAATCAAGAGGTCTTAGGTGTTGAGACAAATTTCATTAAAGATGGTGTTATATATGGTTCAAATGGACAAGTACTCGACGAGTATTTACTAGGACTAGAACATGCCCAAGTCAAGGAGGGGAAAGTTGTGAGGAAACATGGAAAACCAATAGAATATCATAAATTAGGTACTAATGGAACATACATAAAAGATGGTCTTATATTTACTTCCGATTCTAAACCACTTACGCAAGGATCATATGGTATAAATAGAAATTACATTGTTGCTGGAATAGTATGTAATGACAATGGAAAACCCTTGAATCAGTTTGTTTTAATACCCGATGAAACTTACATCTGTGATGGATTAATTTATGGACGAGACGGAACTGTAGTATCGGGTGGTATCTTAGGTCATGATGGTCATTATGTAGCAGATGGAAAAATTTACTCCAAGGATGGTAAACCAGTAAAACATGAATCCTTTAGTTCAGATGGGTCTGTTATAAAAGATGGTATAATTTACTCGAAAGATGGAAAGTTCTTAAATCAAGGATCTTTACTTCCTTGTGGTGCTCATTTAAAGGATGGAAAAGTTGTTGGTAAAGATGGGAAAACAATCAAACATGCATTTTATAACCTTGATGGAAGTTTCATAAAAGATGGTATTATATACAGTAAGGATGGTAGACCTTTAAGTCAGATTCCTTTAATGGCTGATGGAAGCTTTATCAAGGAAGGAATGGTGCATGACAAAAGTAATAAGCCACTTTCACAGAGTCTTTTCAAGCCAGATAACATTATAATTAAGGATGGTATAGTTTATGACACAAATGGAGTAACATTATCAGAAGCTATGCTGGGACCAGATGGCCTAATGATAAAAGATGGAATGATATACGGAAAAGATGGTAAACCTGTTAAACAAGAGTCTTTTGGTTCAAATGGAAGTTACATAAAAAAAGGTATCATTCATTCAAAAAGTGGAAAGCCTCTTAATCAGGATTCATTGATACCCGAGGGTACATCTATCAAAGATGGTAAATTATATAATAAAGATGGAAAGTTATTAAAGTTTTCATTTTTCAAGCCAGATGGAAGCTATGTTAAAGATGGCCTTGTATATGGTAAAGATGGTAAACCTTTGAATTTATGTTCAGCACTTCCAGAAGACAGTTTTATTGCAAATGGAGTAATTTTTGATTGTAATGGTACACCTATGGCTAGAAGTATGTTTGGATCTGATGGTTCGTACGTTGCCGGCGGTATGATTCACAACAAAGACGGTAAAATGATTTCAGAAGGTGTTTTCGGACCCGATGGTAATATTATCAAAAATGGCTTGATTATTGGAAGAGATGGTAAACCCTTGACTCAAGATGACAAAGGGCCAGATAATTTAGCAGTGAAGGATGGAAAAGTGGTTGATAGTCAAGGAAATCCTACAAACTTGGCATCGCTTGTTCCAGATGGATGTTATATTCAAGATGGTGTAGTTTATGATAAGAATCAGAGTCCTCTAAAACAAGGAGCATTTAAACCTGACGGTACTTATATCAGAGATGGTCTTATATATGGATGGGGTGGACAATTACTGAACATTGGCACTGAATTACCTAATGGAAGTTACGTACAAGAAGGCAGAATTTATGGGAAAGACAAGCAGCCTCTGGATCATAGCTCATTTGGTACTGATGGAGGATACATTGCTAATGGTTATATTTATGGAAAAGACAGGCAATTACTTGCTCATGGAACATTTGGAAACGATGGAAGTTATATAAAAAATGGATTATTATATGGAGCAAATGGCAACCCATTAAACCGTAAACAATCGGTAATTTCTATTACACTCGTTCGTTATGGTTTAGTGTATGGTACTGATGGTAAACCACTGAAGTCTGGTAATTTTGATACAAATGGAAGTGTTGTTAAAGATGGAAAACTTTACGATAGTGCTGGTCAACCTTTAAATCAGGCTTCTTATAGAAATGATGGAAGCTTCATTAAAGATGGTCTTATTTATGGAAATAATGGAAAACCATTGTCTCAAGGTAATCTACCTCCTGAAAATAGCTTTATTAGAAATGGAAAGATTTATGATCCAAATGGACAATTATTAACACAAGAAGCATTTGGACCTGAAGGTTTGAAAATAGTGCAGGGAGTTGTCGTAGACAAGACTGGTAAACCCCTAAAACAAGGAAACTTTGATACAGAGGGGAACATTATTAAAGATGGTATTATTTGTACATCAGCAGGCAAGCCTCTTGAGAAATATTTCACTGTAATCACACTTAGCTTAGTCCGCAATGGTTTGCTTTGTGACAAAGATGGAAAACCTGTTAGACAAGCACCATATGGAAATGATGGAAGTTATGTTAAGGATGGAAAGATCCATGACAAATTTGGCAAACTAATGAATCAAGAAATCTTTGGAGATGATGGAGCCTATTTAAAAGATGGTGTTATCTTTGATACTTCTGGAAAACCTTTAGACAGTGATACAATTTTGAAAGATATGCAAGATGCAACAAAACCAACTGTTTCAAAAACAAAAAGAATTTCTACTACAAACACTACTCCAACAATAGTGAAAACAACAACTAAACAATCAGTAGTAAAGGATCAAGAGGGTGTGACACGAAATATAGAAGAAAAAGTTGAAGATCTTACACCTGGAGGCACAGGCCAAGTAACAGTTTCTACACAAATGAACAAGGTGATACAATTTTTAATAAAGTATATAATATAATATATAGTACAATTAACTACTTCACTAATTATAAGGTAAGAAAAGTAATGTTAACAAAAACAATTACGAGTTGATGAATTTCTGACATTTGATAAAGATAAAGGACCTCACATTCCTCAGTTTTATTTTTGTTCACTCTTTTAAATTATTTTACACGATGCTGTAAATTTTATATAATACTGTACTGATTATAATATACATAATGATTTTGTAAAGTGCACCGTAGATCTAGCTATGTGATTTTTGGTCATTGAATATTTATTGCATGTAGTAAATATGTACTATTGATATAAATTCTAAATATAATTATACAAGTGGCAAAGGAATATACCGAGGTCTCAAAAAAATTGGTTGCTGAATGGCAAAAAGATACCAAAACTTCTAAGAATCTTAAATAGTAAAAAATTTAGAACATCTAACGCGCTAACACTTTTTGTAATTTTACACACATATTGTTTTACTATAAGACATTAGTTACCTTGTAGTTGTATTTAGGCAGAGGCACCAGATGATGGTAGAACTCCATATATGACGGCGACTGCTGTCACCACACGTACCGCTACAATGCACGAGGATCTTGAAAAAAATCAAAAGACTAGCCAGGTTTGTAGTATTATCATTTAGATATTCAGATTACATGCCTTACTGTTTTATTTTCATCATTTAAAAATCATTATACATACAAATATTTGCAATTCTTTTGCCTATTATATTGATTTATAGGGCTAGAATTATTTTTTTTTGTAATTTTTTTATGTTAGGTAGAGGAAAAGACTGTAGCGCATACAACAGCAACCAGTGCAACAAGACAAGAGCAGAGAGTAGTAACTCAAGAAGTTCGAACAACCAGTCATGTACTTTCTGGTGAACAGGTAATAATGTATTCATCATTCAAAAATATCCCCACTAATGAATGAAGCATGTAAAATATTTATGTAAATCATCACATGTTGTGTCTTTGGTTCAGCCTAACATTAAATCATTAAAATCTATTATACATATTACATGATGATAATATGGTCATTGCACATACATTTATGCATTTTTTTTTAAGTGGGAAAATCAGATAACATTATGGAGCTTATGATTCTTATATTATATATTATATATATACTTTTAAATATGCAATTGTATAAAAAAATAAGAATTATACACACGTTCAATATACATTTAACAGGATTATACAGTACATTCAGATAAAGGGGTTGTAATTTGTTTAGTAAATAGCAATACCTAACTTATTCAGGAATTGGTTAATTTACACAGTTTAACTGGTGCTATTTTTCATTTAATTATTTTTATTTTTTTTTATTTTTGTAATTAATTTTTGCCGGCTTGGTTAACACATTGCATGGTGTAGCTGTTCTCACGAAGGCTCAGTACATCAAGTTCAAGCAGTGATGATTCAGGTACTCCAATTGACCTTGAAGATGATCAGCAGGCTTTCTACAATCAGTACTATCAGGTAAATCTAAGGAATAGTACAAACACATTGGTCCTTAAAAATTAAAAAATTTTCATTGTTATACTATTTTTATTACGATATTATTTTAAAAATTATTCTGAGAGGTGGACCTTCACCAAGGTACATATTCTTCAGGTATTATTACATCACAGAATGTTATTCATTTCAAAAGTAAATCAATCATTTTTATAAAAATATTAATGCTAATTCATTTCATATGGTATTCATTGCTTAACATTTGTGGGAAAAATCATTTATAAAAAATGTAATCTATTCATTATCATAGAAGCGCTGGTTTTAAGGTATTAATCAGTAGTTATAAATAACAATTATTATACGTGTACAGTCTATAAAATATGAATAATGCTTTGGTCCTGTACATTTTATAATGCCTTTATATTTTAATATAATGTAAATGTAATTGTATGGTATTAATAGAGTTTGTTGCATTATATCATAGATTATCTACATACAAAATATTAATGGGAAAATTTCATTTAGGGTGATCAAGCTGGTGTTGTTGAAACTGAAGCACATGTTTATAAAGGAGAACCAGAACATAATGTGACTACAACTACTACAGTTCCGCTGGTAGCAACTGAAACCAGGAAAGTAGCTGTTGAAAGTGAAGACGGCATGTACAGTGCGACTGGAGAAATAGTTAGTTCTCAAACAATATCGAGTAAGACCCGTACAGTTGAGACAATAACGGTAAGATTCTTATTTCTATTGTAGGTGTTGAACATCGTTTGTGATGTTACATTTATTTGTTACTGTATTTTTAGTACAAAACTGAAAGAGATGGAGTTGTAGAAACGCGCGTAGAGCAAAAAATAACAATACAATCTGACGGCGATCCAATTGATCACGATCGGGCGTTGGCAGAGGCAATCCAAGAAGCTACTGCTATGAATCCTGATATGACAGTAGAGAAAATAGAAATTCAACAACAAACAGCACAGTAACCAGATTTAAAAACAGTTTTGTAAGAAATTAAGGGCACTCTCAAATCTAAATGCTTAAAATTCTGAAAACTAGAAAATTAAATTGATATTCTCTGTATTATACATTAACATGCATTCTTCAATATTGCATGGTAAATAATCGAATTGAATCTTTCTATTGTCATCAATTATTTAAGCATTTTGCCAGGAAAGGGCAAGTTAAAAAAAATTGGAAACATTATTTCTTAGCAAATGTTATCCAATAATATGAGCTTGAACTTGATTGAAAATCAAGTTACTCCAAGAAAAGTATAAGTGATGTTTTCTTCTAAGAAAAAAAAGAGTTACGGTACCTCGTACCGTAAACTGCAGTGTTCATATTCAAAATATGTATTATTTACATATACAGAGGCATAAATAAATATATATTATACATGTTATGTATACATAGCGCTGTATGTACGTAAACTAACCAATTTGTTCATAGTTATATAATAATAAGGCAGAGTGCCCTATAAACTTACATTACTGTTTGATAGTAAATACAATGATATTCATGCAGTGTCTCGTGTAATAAGTATAGTATGTCATTTATATAAAACTTGTTCAAATGGTACACAGTAAAACAACATTATTAAGCTTAATTTTTATTTTTATTTTTTGCAGACTTTTTGTTATAACTTAAATTTCTATTTTTGAAAGATCATCTTTGAGCCTAATATTAATAACATAATTAAAAGAAATATTAAAAATGTTTTAAACAGTCGAGAGTATTTAAGTGTATAATTAATATATATATTTGAATTATGCAAGCAGTACAATACACACACACACACACAATATATATATATATATATATAGCATAATTTTATGAAAAATAATTACTTCAAGATGAATACATCGGAAAGTAACAGTGGAAGACTTATAATACATAAGTCACAGATACACAAATTTTTTTATAATGATTCATGCGATTTAAACGTAGCTTTCCTGCAATATGTTTTTTTGTATAGTTTAAATATTTGTGATATATATTTTTTTCAAAACAAATATTACATAATGTTTATTGTATGACAAAGTCCTTTAAATATAAAATATTAATATATACATAAAATATATATATACATGTATACATAAACATTTATGGTTATTTGATAAAATGAATAGAAGTCTACAAAGTTTCCTGTAACTTAAAGTATTAATATTCAGCAATGTGATACTGAAAGGAAATACACGTTGTTAACATTGCTATTGTATACAATTTTTATTTAATAATTTAAAAATATGCATTTGGAAGCTATGTAGATTTTCTTAAGCTATATACTTCAGAAATGAAAAATGTATTAATAACATTAATAAGATAAATTATATGTATGTAACTTCACACCAAGAGCTACGATGCATTGGTCAGCGTACATGTCTAAATTTAGCTGTAATTTCTGTAGTTTTAAGACTACAATTTCATATAAGATTTTGTTTGTTCAATAGTTTATTTAATTTTTGTATGAAACATGAAAAATATTACTAAGAAACAAAAAAGGCTGATAACCTGAATCTACAATATAAAGTTATTATGATGCAAGTCATACTTTGAACAAATAAATCTACATAAATATATAAATTTATAAATATGAATTACGTATCGCAGTTTCGTATATTTATGTATGAATAGTATGTATATTGTTCATGCGGCAGTTATAAAGCAACATTAAATATGCATATCACACTGTAGGAGGTTTGTTTATACCTTTGTTCTTTAATGTATTGTTTAAAAGTCTATTCATATGAATTACACTTGCATTTTGCACAAAGCATTTATTTTATTATACTAAATATAATATGTTTATATAATAATTATAAATTAATCTTTTTTACTTTTTTACATTTTGCATAACGTATAATAAATTGAATGAAAAAATTTAGATGTATTGTTACGTTAAAACCATTATACTGGTTATATCTATTTTTTATGAATACATCATTTCTTCCATATTGTAATGCTAATAAGATTTATATTATGTAAAACCATCCAAGTTTCTGTAGAACAAAGGATAATCATTGACCGTCTACGTGCGAACTGCATTAAATATTCTATGTTAAGTTTTGTTATACGCTGGCAGCTAATGAATTGTTCGAATAATATAAAATATACCGATTCATTAATTTCATTTTATTTTGTGCCGTTAGTTATATTTTAAATATGCTCAACCATTTCATTACATCTATTTGTTTCTGAATATTATTTATAAGTAGTTTAAGAGATTTCGTAGATTGATTTTTATGTTTCGATATTATAAAAAGTAGTAAAGTTACGATAAAAGAAAAAAATTAATTTTCTACTTGTACCTTTTATACCATGTAATTTTATGATTTATATATTTGTTTTTATTGTACCTAACATTCCATGCTTATAGTGACTAACAAATATGTATCATAAATGCCTGTGTCATTTAAAAATTATTTATTTGTTTATTCGTATAATTAAAATTATCATAATTTTATATTAGCTCTGCTTGAAGATACTGCTATATGTTTATACGCAGTTCATTACATGTACAAAAATTTATCCATCGCATACAATTTATTTTTATTATTTCAGTTGACATACAAAGTTAAGCTTTAAAGATAAGATATGGATCTTCAAGCAGTGTACAAACGTAGCTAATAGTATTTTGTACTTTAATACTTCTGTGGTTCATTTAGTGATAACATAATGATTATAATATTATATACTTAAAATTATAGTTCTATGACATTATAATTATAATATAATAGTATTTTATGTGTAAGAACGTCATAACTGTTTAACTATGCACGTTTTGTTATTTTTAAATTGAATTATTGTTTCACACGCATGAATTTCAATGTACTTTATTTTAACTATGAAAATGTTATTTTAATGCACATTTATATAATATATAAATTTCGCCTTACTGCTAGAAAGTTGTACAAAACATTTATTGTAATTAATTTGCCTCCAGCTTCTTACAATAATTTGCTAATGTTTTTTTTGATCATAGATTTTATTTTTATTACATACACGACTTTCCAGCATGCAGGCTATAGTACATGACTTACGTAGAAGTTATTTCATAAAATACATATATTCTAAAAAAAACAAAAATTAAATATGAAAGAAGTATACATTAAATTATAAATAATTTTCTAAAAAAAGTATTAATAAACAAAAAGAATGTATCTAATTAAAAAAGCTGTTTTCTTACATGCATATATGTATAATATCACGGTGATGTTTCAAATTAATGGCAGTTCAATAGTTTTACTATTTATCAAAGGTTGTATAACACGAGGTTGTTTGACTTTAGCCGTTTTGTTCCAAAATGGTCTTGGAGTGATATGACCATTTCTTTTAGCATTTGCGCCTGACGCTAAATTTATTATTATAATCGATCAATATCAATAATACTTCTCTATAATAGAATAATAAAATAACTTTTTTATCAATTTACCTGATTTCCATGGTGGAAAAGTGTATGATTGCATTTCACCAATAGCAGAAGAAATTGTAATAAATGACTTTGGATGAGGATACTGAAACAGTGCTCTGGATATTGATTTTTTTAATGCAGGCGGTAAATTTAATGAGCCTAAATAATAACCGTAATAAATAAAATTGTATTATTAACATTACACAGAAATTTTTTAAAAATCAAACTTTATAACATAATACTTGTAATGTCTTCATCCAGTCTAGTTGTTGAAGATTTTTGGGTGTGGTGAAGATGTTTCTTTACTTTAAATCTTTTCATAAAACATCTACATATGTCTGTCACTAGCTTTCCATCCAAGGTTGCTATAAATTAATGTCATTTACAATAGAGTGTATATGCTACTAAGAAATCCAATATAAACATACTTATTGTATCATTATTGGCAATAAGGTTTTCTTTATATCTATGATACTGAGTTACAGGATTGCCTTGCAAGGATAAATTTGTTAAAGAACCTAAGGCGCTTATACATTCTGTTAAATCATCGATATCATTAATCACATTGTTTTTAGCTTCTAGAACTTCTAATTCATGCAATTCCTTAATGTTTTTTAGGGATGTGATTTTATTGTTTGAAATATTTAGTGCTTTTAAACAAGTCTGAAAAAGGGAATTATTTCAAATTTATTAGGATGCATAATCAGAAAATAATAAGAATGCATATAAACCTACGGATAAAGTACGTATACTTCGTGGATCAAAACACAACGATTCTGTAGTAGATAGTCTTTGATTTTCTATTTGCAAAACGGATAAGTTTTTTAAACGTTCAAGACCTTCAACCACCACTATATTGTTATATCCTAAATAAAGAGTCTGCAATTTTTCCAGGTAATCTAAATTTTCTATTTTACTTATTAGATTGTGTTGCAAATAAAGGTGTGTCAAATTTGATGCAAAATTCAAATTTTCTATCTTCAATATATTGTTATTTTGCAAATATATTACTTTAAGATTTCTGAAAGCTGTAAAATTACCCTGTAATACAAAAATTATACATAAATATTTCAACTATTGCTATTAATTTTCAATAACAATAACTTACAATACTGCTGATAAACATGTCATTCATACGCAAATGTGTTAAGCCATACAGCTCATCCTTTTTTATCTTCTTACTGAGCGATTTGTTTAATTGAATTTGAGAACATTTTTTTTCAACATATTCAGCAGTTAATTTTACCATGGTTGAAAAATTTTATTAAAGAATAAACGTTAATGTAAAATGCCGAGCAATACGTTTATAATTGATCAAACAGACGCGCCTTTAATATGCGGCATCTACAGCTATCGTAGCATGCCGTTAGTTGGATCCAATAACTTGAGGTGGCGGTTAAATCAGTTTCTGTTCGGACTATTTTTCGATGAATCGTAGACTGTTTTATCGATGTGGAATTCGGAGTTCGGTCTCGATGCTTGCATGAAGATGAATGATTCTTTTTTTTAATATTTACTTGTATTTTTGATGTTTGAGTGAAGCTAAAAGTTAAATATGGGAAAAACAACAAAAGTAGTTGTTTGTGGAATGAAAGGTGTGGGCAAAACAGCATTATTGGAACAACTCATATATGGAAACATCACTGTCAAGACAGTAAGGATTTAGGTTATATTTATATAAACTGTACTGCAAAATAAACACAAATTTATTTCATAAATACATATTGAATCTGTATAATACATATATGTTTTGGTACAATTGACATTTTGGAATGTAACAGGAAATTCATCCAACGATCGAAGATATTTATGTTGCTAATATAGAAACTGATCGCGGTACCAAAGAAAAAGTGCGATTTTACGACACAGCAGGACTAGAATCTCTTCAGAGTAATGCAAATAATCAGCAGCTTCCACGACATTATCTTGGTTTTGCTGATGGTTACATTTTAGTTTATGACACTGCAAAGCCAGAATCCTTAGATGTACTATTTCCACTGAAGAAAGATATTGACAAAAATAAAGATAAGAAAGAAATAACTGTGATTGTTGTTGGAAACCGAACTAAAGCTGAAGAAGAATCTCATAGTCTGGAGAACACTGCAAGTAAGGCTGCAAATTGGTGTACAAGAGAGAAACTAAAACATTACGAAGTAAATGTTATGGACAGAGCTAGCTTGTTCGAGACATTTGTTCATCTATCTTCTAGATTAAATCCTCCTACCAATAAGAGTACTTTCCCCCAGCTAAGTATGGGTAGAAAAACTGTTAAAGTAGAGGGGTCTTAATCTTATTCATTTAACTTGTTCACTAGTATTACCAATTACCACTGACTTCTTATAAATATGCTCAAATTACTTTTATCAAAAATAAGTATATCTTGTACACGTTATGTACTTAAAATATCTATTTGCTTAAGTACTAGTAATACTGCATAATGCAGTACATAATTTAATCATTTTAGATCTGGTCTTATTTCTTTTTGTACCTTAAGCAGTTTTGTTCCTTTTTGTACTTAAAAATATTTGTCGAAAAATCAATTATAAGTTGCAATCGGCTGTTTGTGTCTTGTTTCGTAATTCCGAGGAATTCCTTATAAAGCGTATAGAAGTTATTTCTATATATTAATTCACCATTCAATCGGTTTTTTGAGTTTTCGCAAACAAATGGTTGTTCCAAATGCGTAGTCCCATAATTTACTGCTGATGCCGAAACCTGGAGAAAAGTTACATATAAAAATAAATTTGTCAAGCATTTCGAAAATCGAGAGGATATTACCTAGCTCGTGATGTAAGAAGTGATGATAGTTATGATTCCTTTTTAAGAGGTAAAAATACGATCCAACTTTCGGCGCACCGTGATGTAAATAATAATGAATTAAATCGTAACACAAGTAGCCTACGAGTAAATTATTTTACGTTTAAAATATTGTTAATACCGATGATAGATATAAGTGTATCAGTTGTGATACCTGTTGCCGTGCCAGCGGAAATAAAATAAACCATCTGTGGTGGAAATACTGTATGATAAAGGTATAATATCAGTTTTGTTATTAATAAACCAAGCACGGGAGGAAATACCAATCTTCTATCATCAAATGGGGCCTAATAAAAAAATTATTCGTTATGTATTAAATTATTATTATTTTATTTTTATTTTTGTTTTTAGTTACTGGATGAAATTAATAACGAATATCAACTTTTACCTTGTGATGAATACCATGAAGTATAAAATGCAATGAAATAAGTACTTTCGAGGTAGCGGGCGGTTTAAAGTGAAAGAGCTTACGATGAAGCACATATTCTAAGGCGCTCCACAGCAATATACCGAATACGTACGAAATTAAAGCTTCGAGCAGTATGTTTCCTAAAATTTATTTACGTCAAATGATAGCCATTATCGTACGTGCTAGCAATAAAAAAAAAAAGAAAGGAAGAAGTAAATATGATTACCAGAGTGACTATCGGCAATGCCCGTCCATCCTAGATAGAGCAAGAAGATACAGATAGGGATCCATACGATCGGTATTAAATACCAAGGGGTGATCGATAAAATTTCCAAGTAGTCTGATTTAAATAGTCGAATTTGTTGGTTTACTGGCAAATTTACCCATTCCCAGTATCGATCACCCAACGTACCTACTTGACAGAGTATAGGCGAGTTCCAGTCGATGAAATTCTATAAATGTTTAAAGTCAAGCTATTACGAGACTACGTTTGCACTCAATACCCGGTTGAATTGATTGAAAAATCGAATACAACGTTCTGGTTATTAAAAGAACGAAGAACAGGCGCTGCTTGTAGATCCTCGTTCAACTTACTTCGTATTCCCGATACTTATCATCGTTGTTCAATTTAAAATCTTCGAACAAATGAAACGCTCCTTTCGAGTGGGGGTTGTTGTTAAAAGCATTATCCAAGCTTTGATTTTTAAAGTAATCGAATACTTTCTTTCCACCAGGATGATATCGCAAGAAATTGCGTATGTTGTAATATTGTTTCTGATAACTGACTAGAAATTTTTCCTCCTCATTTTCTGTTGTTTCTTTCTCGTGTTTTAGTTGACCGGTTCGTTTGCGCGCCTCGTTCGCGGTCGTCGCCATTGAACTCGATCGGCTATTTCGAATTGGGTTGATTGTTCCAAAAATGTAGCTCGCGCAAACGCGAAACGCTCGTGAATTTTACGTTTTAAATTAGATATCTTTCGAACCTTCAACCTGTTCAACAACGTTTTATCGTTAACACGCGTCGAATCTTTTGATAAGATTCCACGTACGTGGCTACATAACGAATAGTCGAGGCTATATCACCTTTGAAAAGTGTTATCTACCGTGATAAGTTCCTGTCTATACGCTAACGCCACCGCCAAACGTTTTGTCGTCCCCTCCAACTTATGGTCTCCCTCTTTCTTATTGCATTATGCGAAATCGTTAAAAATAATTTATCATTAATTCGGTGCGATCGAGTCATTGAGTCTGTTGTTAAGTTTTTTTATACCTTGTTATGTTGGATGCACGTGGACTTTGTGATATAGATCATATCAGTTCGTTTCACAATAAAAACAAAAATAGTACTTTATTAGTTTGGAATTAATATATGTAACAGAAAAAGTAAACATTCTTGTATTCACTTCTCGATTCGTAATCCTTAAACAATAATCAATAAACAATAATGCGTTACAGTCATTCTAATTGCGTATCTAATAATAAAATATAATGTTACCAACCTAAAACAACTTATGGTATAGAAATATAAATGAATCTACCAACTAAAAGGAACTCCCTAACACTTTCCCTTGATCTTCCGAAAAATTAACATTTTAAATCATTGTCATTCGTAAACATAATTTCAGCTTTACAGATATTGAACTTATAACTATTCAGTGCTTTAGTGAGTATATCTATATATTGCACTTTCGTATTGCAATATCTTATGTTAATTCTTTTTTGTTTTACAAGCTCATGCACAAAATGATACTTAACGTCTATGTGTTTAGATCTTTTGTTAACTACCCCGTCGTTTATTAACTTAATCGCACTCTGATTGTCTATGTTCAAGTCTATCACTAGTTCACAAGAAGTTAATTCTTCAATTAATGATCTAAAATACAACAGTTCCTTGCAACATTCAGCAGCTGCCACATACTCTGCTTCTGTTGTTGTTAATGCCACTGTAGATTACCTTCGGCTATACCAGGTGATCGGTCCTCCGCCGTATAGTATGACATACCCTGTAGCGCTTTTTCTATTTTCAGGATCCCCTCCAAAATCGGCGTCACAGTATGTTGTGATTTTATTCTCTGGTGCTTCATTTTCATATTTTATACCTTCATTTAGAGTTCCCTTTATATAGCGAAACATTCTTTTTACGTCCTTTACATCATTTTCTTTGGTATTCATAATATGTCTGCTTCCATAGCTCGTTGCAAACGCCAAATCGGCTTCGTTTTACTAGATAGATATAATAGACTTCCAATTGCTTCACGGTACGAATATGTGGTATTTTCTTTAAGCATAGTATTATCTCTCCCTATTTCTAATGGCGTCCTTACTGGTTTTGCTTCATCCATTCTATGTGTTTCAAGGATCTTACTAGCATACTGACTTTGATGTAGTCGAATTTCATTTCTCTTGAAACTGATTTCTATGCCTAGAAATGTCTTCGGTTTTTTATTAATTTTTATGTTAAATCTTTCTCTCAAATTTTGAAGAAGGTTGTTAATTTCTTTTTCATTGTTTCCCATTATGATTTCGTCGTCCACATAAATTCCTAGAATCAAATTGTTATTTATACCCAACAAACATATAAGCTCTACATCTGTCATCCAATTTCTTCTGAAGTTCCAAAATTTTTACAAATACTCTGCATCCAAATAATTTTATGTTCTTTAGGTTCGGTTTATGACCATTCCATGCTTCAGCAGGAGTTTTGGCTTCTGTTTAACAGATATGTGGCTGTGTACGCAGCTTCTCCCCACATTTCTTTATTCATCTTGGAATCTATGAGCAGCACTCTGATCTTGTCAATCAGTGTCCTGTTCAATCTCTCTGCCTGTCCATTTTGTTGCGGTGTGTAGGGTATTGTTTGATCTAGCTGCATACCCCTTTGTTTACACCAGTTTTTAAGTATTGTGTTCATGTATTCACGCCTGTTGTCACACCTTAGTTTGTATAATTTCAGATTCCATTTAGCCTCCACCAATGTCACATATTCTTTTACCTTTTCCATAACCTCATATTTATTTTTTAAAAGATATATCATTGTATAATGCGTATAGTCATCTAAAAAGGTTAGAATGTACCTGTTTTTATCCCATGTTTCTGGACTTATAGGGCCACACAAATCAGTATGGACTAATTCCAAGGGTCTCGTAGCTCCTGATCTTTCCTTTTCAAACTTTCCTCTTAAACACATTTCACAGAGTTCTTCAGCTTCTTCTGCATTTTTCTTTGAAATATTTGCCCCATCAGACATGTTTATCAGTCATTTTATGTTTTCTATTCCTAAATGTCCTAGTTTTCTATGCCACATTTCTACTTGGTTTTATTCCTTGGTCAAATATGTACTGTCTTTGGGTTTTAATTTCATTTTAACTTCATATAGACCATTCTCAGTCTATAAATTTTAGGCAAGTCGCTTGCTTCCACATGTATCAGTACTTGAAACTTCCACATCTGATAGTTGTCTGATCTCCTTAGTTTTTCTATTTGGTTCAATTCTTTATTTGTACACTTTTCCATTATTGCTGTTTGTTTTATCTTGTAATTTTACTTGTTATTAGTTTTACTTTCTTACTTACTTTTATCAATTATAATCTATATCTCTGATAACACAGCGTGTCCCTGGGTCCATAACCTGTTGGAGGCACGTGGTCTTGTACAAAAAAAATGGACGTATACATTGCTCAAAAGAAATATGGCGTAGAAAAATTTTAGGCAAAATTTGTCCAACTTTGATTGACGGTAACTCTGCGAAAAATCATAGTAAAATTATATTCTTTTTTTTTAAATTAAAGCTTGGAATCTCTACTTTAAGATACTATAGTTCGATTTTAGGTGTGATGCATCCCTACCACTGTAACACCTTAAATGTGAGGGCATGTTTAATATGTTGAAAATTACAAAGTTTGACGGAATGCATGGACGTGCCACATTTTTTTTCAGGGATACTGTTTGCAGAAACATAAAGTACAAACCTTCCTCTTCAATTTCTAAACAAGAGAAAAGTCGCTGCCATTTTGTTTTGCAAAGATACAGCATTTTAAAGTAACCTTTGCATTTTTAGCATATACCCCCGGCATTGGCATTTCCCGATGTGCACCACGCGGAGGTTTCTATAAGTTCTTTCGCTCCTGGAAATGCGTATTCCGTATACCCTCAACAAAATCAGGGGAAAAAGAAGGAGGCTAGGGGAAAGAAAGTCGAGGAATCATCAGACAAATATGATCTCGTATACTCGGCAATAAATAAGCTTTTATTTAAACATCTTGGATACTTGTGTATACAATATACCCTATGTACGATCTATATTTATAATGTCTACGAACGTAGCAGCGATCATGCTCCTGTGTAAAGAAAGAAACAAGAGGGAGAGAGAGAAGAAAAAAAAATGGAAAATAGAAACGAGGAAAATGAAACGCGATACGGTTCCTCCGAGTAATCTGAGCATTCGCGCTGCCAAAAATATAATAGTATTTCGAGCATCGCCGACATAATAATTTCTTTTTATGTAATTATGCAGAATAGGCTACAACTCGTCGAGTTCAATGCTCTTGATTTATGTTATACGTAATCAACGTAATTTTATGTGGATTGATAAATTTGTAATGAATTGCAATTTGAATTTTTGTAATTTGTTATTATAGGATTCCACTTCGTTATCGTCAAATCACTATTGTATCACACGGAACGACTCGAGTGATTGACTTTATAACATACATCAAGATCATTGAATTTAGTAAGATGCAAGCATCCTATTCTACGTAAAATTACCTCTTCTTTTTGTATGTTTAATTATCATCACCATCGATGTCCTCGAGCCAGGTACTGACCTTGTCAAGCTCGACACCGCTCGACAGAAAGATAGCCGTTCTTGCGTTTGCAGGATGTTTAATTTTTGGCGTGCCGATAACGCAACCGAAAGAAGTGCGAAAACAAGAAAGATTTCCACAGTTTCTCTCAGTATCCGGCTAGTAAAGTAATACGTCTCCGTGTTCAATTCGAATCTTGAACTTATTTCGTTCGTGTGATTTTTTAAGTACGATCCATGTTCGATGGAACACTTTTCGCGGTCTACTTTTTTTCTTAAGTAATCAGGGTTCTAACGAATCGGAAGTATTACGAAATTCTTGAAGAGATACCGTCTCTATATTATTTCTATTTCCTACTCGTTACGACGCTATTTCTCTTTTTTTAGCCGAGTAGGTTTCTAACGTCTAGTTAGACTCCGTGACTTTTTGCAACACCTCCTAACGTTTCTTCTTCTCTTCTCTTTTCTTTTCTTTTTTTTTTATACCCCTGAGGTTTGGAAGCAGTAGGAACGTAGGCACCGTCCAGAAGTCGAACGAAATTTTCTTCTTCCCGACGAGCCTCCACGTGGGAACGTTTCGACGGATTCTAAACGACTAGTCGAATCCGCATCGAATGTTGGCGGAAGATCGGACGAGACTTATCGTCTCGTTCGAACGGTATTATACGTAAAACAGACGGTACTCTTTCTAAAAACGCGAAGGAGGGAAACTGACGTTAAATGCGATTCGTTTCTTCGATTCGACGGAGCAATAAAAAAAGAAGAAATCTAATTTTAGGAATTCGCGTATACAATTCGGTTCGTATTAAACGAATGTTTGAGCGTTAACGAATGAAAATTCTTCGAAAGGAAGTAAAATATGAGATTCAGGCCGTTCGAAATGATTTACGTCTCGATCGAAACCGAGCAAACGAACCGGTGCGAAGCGAGCAGAGGCGCGACGAAACGATCTCTCTTCGTGATATACACTCTGTAACGCCGAGTTTATTTCTTTTTTTGCTTGTATTTTCCTGTGTTTTTTTTTTTAATTTTTTCTTGCTTTTATTTGCTTCGTAGTCTAACGTTCCGTGTCACATGTTCGACGGAAGATAAAATATTGCTTTAAAAAGCACCGATCATCTAATTTCAACGTTCACAACGGATCGGTAATTCGTGTCGTTTTACGCGTCTCCGCAGAAACGAAATTCGAAATCATCCTTCGATCATACATTTCACCGCTACTCGTAGAAACGGTTCGAGAAGATAATTCTAACTCGATAATGACCCGCTTTTAAAAGTCCATTACTTCCATTTTAAAAGGTTTACCCCGTAGTTTGTTAGGGACGATCTTCGTTATGGGCGGTGCGCTGTTGTTGTCGTCGTCGCTATTTATGTCCTCGTCCTCCTCTGGAAAATCTTCCAAACGATCGTGATATTCGTCCAGCTGAAAATTGAGAGTAACACGATTAATAACAATTCTTATATTTATTTAGAGATCGTTTCGTAAACGTAGAATCGTAGCTATTGCTATGCGTGATGATTTAACCCTTCTTCTTCTGGTTTTCTTCAAGGTACATTAGGCGATAATTTCACGTATCAAATTATCTGGAAATACAGACTTAGTCGTTACGATCCTTGCAATCTGAAGAAGGGTTAAAAACGTGGGCTAAGCTAGCGTGTGTTCCTTATAATTATATCTGCAAAAGCGCAGTGCCTGTGAG